CAAGCTATGTCAAGACTCAAAGAATTGTATTCTACGTGAGGATATTAGCTAGTTTTTATTTTCTCTCTAGTGCTAGAATGTAGGCAAGTAGTTTAATTTCATTTGAAGCTATTAGGATATCACACACACGTTTTCATACTTATAGTTTTGAGCCTTTTCACAAAATATCATTTTTCACAAGTATGAGGACCTATTTGCAAAAAAAAATTTCCAAACAATTTGTTTTATAGTGTCAAAAACATTTTACAAAGTTTCACAATTTTTGGAAGTCAATTAAATATTTTACAGAATTTTTAAGAGAGTCAAAATTAATTTTTTCGTATGTGTCAGTTTGCGGTCGACCGCCACGGTCGACCGCGCCTGAGTTCATTCGTCAGTGGGCAGTAGAAACTTTCACGGTCGACCGCCACGGTCGACCGTGAGCTCGAGAATTCCCACGGTCGCCCGCCACGGTCAACCGCAAAAGTCTCTGGAAAATTTCTTCGTTTCTGAGCTGGCTCGTGGCCGACCGTGAACATTGTACGGTCGACCGCTGTTATTTCAAACGGTCTTTTTGGTACAGTTTTCAGCGCCAATTTTTCCTGGATTTGGGGGATTAGGGTATGGGTTTAAACAACTGTATTTTCTCCTATTTAAACCACCCTATACTCCTTCTTCCTCAAGCGTCCCAAGCTATTGAAAAACCAGAGATTTTCTTTTACTGAGAGCTAAAAATTTCAAACCTGTTTTCTGTATTTTCCTGTGTTCACATCCCAGCTTCTGTGTAATCTTTCTCCTTGCCATAGGGACATTGTAAAGTGAGAGTTTTTTACACCAATACTATTGTTGAGAGCTTGATCTTGTGAAGATCAACTGTGTGGGAGTGTGATCTTGTGGTGATCAACTATATAGTTATGAGATCTTGTGAAGATCGTTGTGTAGAAGAAGTTCCGACTTCCAAACCGGATTGTGTAGTAGATTTATCCTCGAGAGTGGGGAGCGGGGGCGTAGGTCAACGGGTCGAACCTCGTTAACACATCGCACGTCACTTGGATAACGATTTCTTACTCTATCTCCTTTACATTTGTTGTTCATTATTGTGGTGTATTGCTTGCCTTATTTTTATTGCACGATTATTGCCTTAAGACCCTAATCATCCCCCCTCTAGGGTCCAACAATCTCTTTCTTATAGTGAGGTCACCGCTGCACTTGTGAATTATCAGATTCGAAAGAAGGATAAGAAGACTTCAGTTGAGCCGGTAACGGGGGAATTGGTCGCAAGAGCAAAGAGTCCAAACCGTGATAGAAGGTCGTAGTCTAGAGGGGCACATCTTGGAGTTCGTAGGAATCAGTGTGCCTTTTGTAAAGAGGATGAACATTAGAAAGCCGAATACCCAAAGTTGGTTGATCGAGCTAGGAAGAATAAGGGAAAAGCTATTCAAGCTTCAGAGGTGAATGTTGTTAAGGCTAGTGACAATAATTTAGATTCAGATTCTTCGGGCTACTCGTTATCTACACTACCATCAGTTTGTGTTGTCGACTCTACAGAGTGGATGTTGAATTCGGGTGCTTCATACCATATTTGCCCTAGGAGGGATTGGTTCTCCAGCTTTCAGGAGTTGGAAAGAGGGGAGGTCGTGCTCATGGGTAATGATCATGAATGTCCTATTGATGGTATCGATACCGTTTGGATTAGGATGAGTGACAGAATGATTCGGGAGTTGGTTTGAGTGAGGTTCGTTCATCAGTTGAAGAAGAACATCATTTTACTTAGAGTTTTGGAAGCAACAGGGTATAGGGTGACCTTGGTCGATTCATGTTTGAAGGTTACATTGGGGTCCATGATTGTGATGAAGAGCACCAGGAGGAATAATTTGTATTATTTGATTGGGAGCACAGTGTTTGATAGAGAGTTGACGACTTCTTTGGATTTGGCTAGACTGTGGCATTTGTTGAGGCTGGATTATTTGATTGGTTATGCTGTGCATGGTTTGTTGAGGAGTGCTTTGACTTACAGATTGAAGTCCTTTGAGCACATTGGTATGAGCAAGAAGACCGATGTGGAGTTTGGTACTTCTATCCATCGATCGAGGGGTATTTTAGGTGGTGTTCAGTCAGGCATTTAGGGGCCTTCCAATGAGGCATCATTGGGAGGTAATCGGTATTTAGTTTTCACAGTTGGGGATTGTTCTAGGCATTGGTGGGTTGTAACCAGGTCCCGTTGGTGTGAAGTCCTAGAAGTCAACAACAATTAGAAGAAGTGTATTGGCAGAAAGGTAACCCATCGTTCTAGCTTTGGTAGGGGTTCTTTCTTGCATTTGTGCCGAGATCATCATAGTTTGAGACACTTCATTGATGTGAAGACATTGGGGCGATGAGATGAGATAACAGTTTTGATGGGTCGTTCCTTACTAGAGGGGGATCGGCGTTGGTTATCGAGCATTGGTTTTGGTTTTGGAGCTTCGCTATATTTGGGTCATCTTGGTCATAGGTTACCCACTGCTGCGTGTGGAGATTTTGGATCTGGTGGAGCTGCTTCAGATTTTGGGTTACGTCGGATATTTGGTTGCCCAGTATTTGGTCACATCGAGGATGTGAAATTTAATCCGATTGCACGTTTGGGATTCAGATGTTCGTTTGATTATCAGTTAGGAGCTTTTGATTTTGTTCTGAGCAGGTATGTCACATTTGACTCTCGGTAGGTGGAGAGTGTTGATCAAATCATTAGGATATCACAGCAGGTGGAGGGTGATGCTACTTCATATTAGGTGGAGATTACTCCACATACTCCAGATCATACTGCATTGTTTGAGATTCTAGCTGAGGTGACACAGTTTGGAGATCATTTAAATTTAGATGCAGATGATGAGTTGGTTTTGGATTCGAGTGTAGCTGGTGGACATGTTTTGGATACGACCATTGGTTCACCTCAGGTTGAGGTGTTTGATTTGTTTCAGTTGCAGATCCGTTGGTGATATTTGTGAAGAGTTACAAACTTTTCTATTTGATTGAGGGCCTTTGGAGGCCGTTTGGGTGAACTACGTGAATGCTTGATTCCTTGGGTAAGAGGATACGTAGGCAATCATTTATGATGCAGCCGGTTTGGTGAGTTGATACCGACATTTGGAGTTTGTTCGCATTCTCGTTTGGGTTCTTGACTTATTGTGGATTGAGTCCGTTGTCATGGATTTGTTCCACTTTGTACTGGATGCAACAAGTGAGACGTTTGATTGGTATTGGTGTCGGCTCAGTTTTGAAAAAACTGCGCCGAGGTGGAGAATTGTTGGATAGCAGGTTAATAATATGTTTCCTAATTTGTTTTGGTAACAAGTTATTGAGATTCCTAATTTGTTTTGGTTACATGATTCCAAATCTATTTTAGTAACATGTTATTAGGATTTCTAATCTGTTTTGTTTTTTGTTTTTAGAATTCCTAGTATGTTTTTAATTTTAGGATTTCTATATATATGGAATACTTGGAAGAGAGAATTGAGAAGAACATTGGGGATATTTGGAGCACAGAAAAGAGGTATTTTCTGAGCTATTGGTTAGGATTTTGTTTGGAGAGAATTAGAGATTTGTTGGTAAGATTAATTGGTGAGTTTGAGTGATTTGTAATCTCAGTTTGTACTCTTCTTCTCTATTAGTGAAAAACCCTATCCCCTTTTTGCCCCGTGGACGTAGGCAACTTGCCGAACCATGTTAAGATTGGTTATCTGTGTTTGTGCCATTGATTTGGTTTGTTTGGCCTTCTCTCGACGTTCGTTTGATTTGATTTCTCGTAGCACGTTGGTTTGATTGTTTGGCTTCCGCAGCGCTCAACACATGGATGTTTTTGGTTATTTTCAAAGTTGGTGGTACTTTAGTGCAGAACCCTTAAGGTACGGAGGAGTTTGTGAAATTTACCCATAAGATGATCTTCTTATCTTTTCTCGGAGTAGTTGGTTACCATTTGACTTCTCCACGGACCACCCGGCTACCTCGAAAAGCCAGCATGTACGCTCTTATTTGTTGTGATTGTGTTTTTAATTTTTTGTATAACTTTATCAGAATTTCATAATGTTAGAGATCTATCATGATTAGGAGATTGAGTCTCATCATGATTAGGAGTTTGAATCCTATTCTAATTATAGGAGATTGAGTCTCATCATGATTAGGAGTTTGAATCCTATTCTAATTAGGAAGTTAGGCTAGAGATAGAGTTTTGGTTTCTCATCATGATTAGGAGTTTGAATCCTATTCTAATTAGGAAGTTAGGCTAGAGATAGAGTTTTGGTTTCTCTCTCTATATTCTTCTATTGTTGGAGGAAAAATCAAGAAGAGGATAGAGAGTCAATATTGTTGTAATTCATGGTTAGCAGAGGGCATAGCCTGATTCAAGAATATGCATGAGGCGAGTGTTTCGTAGTTTTTGTCCGTGTAAAAGATTACATCATTGGGAGATGGTTTCGCAGTCTTTGTCCGTTCAAAAGATTGAAAGGATAGGGCTTTGGAGATAATATGAGAGTTGGTTATGTATGTGAGGTTGAGAGATTGAGAGACAAGAGTTGAGTGGTTCCTCTTGTAGTTCTCCTTGATACATACTGGATTTCTCGTATTGCCCCGTGGACGTAGGTCGAAGTTGATCGACCGAACCACATATATCTCAGTGTTTTTTTCTTGATTATGGTTGTTTTATATCTTGTTGATTGTGAGTTGTCTTCCAAGTTGCACAAACCATATTAGACGGCAAGACTAAAATTCCCCAACATTATTAACAATACCATTACTGTTGAGGTACCTTTGTTAATTACAATCTTAACAATTTTACCATTGCACTTTAGCTGAACACCCAAAAAAAAAACGATGCACAAAGTTCAGGAAAAGAGTAGTATTATGTAGAATTTTTTTTTCTTAAATAGGTAGTCAATTGTCATAATCGATACACAAAGTTAGGGGATTTGTCAACTTCACATGGTCATGACCCAATCCTCCCTCTGGCGCAGAAAGCAACACCCAATCCAACCATGTTCTCTTCCTTCTACATTAAAATATTCAATTATCCCCATTGCTTTTCTCAATATTAGCACCCCTAAATTAAATCCATATACATATAAAAGAACTTAATTAATGATTTTTTTAACAAGAAAAGTAAGAAAGGGAAGTTTTTATTTGCAATGTAGCCCCCCTCTAATGCGCTCCACGTCCCAAAGTGCTTCTCACACTTGATAACTTTCTTCTGCAACAATGAAAAGCAAACAACTTGTTGAGAAAATATATTTTACAAAGAACTCCTTTCTCTTTAAGGAAAATTAAGGTCCCATACCACACCTGAAATTGATGCCAATGATTTTGGGCCAAGATACATCCCAAGACTTTTCAAAGACCAAAATGACCCTAAAAAGAATGGTTCATAGTTTGCCAATTTTCTTTGCCAAGGAAATACAATGACAGCGAAAATAGAGCATTTTACACGAAACCAAATTCCCTTTGTTAGCTTAGAGAATTGCCCTTGTCAGTAATACTTGGAAAGTCAATGAAATTAGGCAAACCCAATACCACAAGCTCCCAAGCTCCTCCTCGTATCCCTGATTCACAGAAAAGTTCTACAATTAGATTATCAAATATTATTAACATCTAATCTAGTCTTAAAGTAGTGTAAACAAAGATTCGAAAAGTCACAATATCGAATATTAGTTAACATGCTTTTCAATTGATTGGTTCATACTCATACTTTTCAAAGCTATATGTAAGGTTGTATTATATATAGTTTCTTGTAAGTGGAGAATATTGACAAACTGCTAAACTTAATTGTCAGAAAATAACTTCTACATAATTTTCATATATTCTTTTCTTCGCAGTCACGCAGAAAACAAATAAATAAAAATAAAAAGAAAATATAATGAAGAAGAGATACACCCCTGTAGTATCGTTGTTGAAATTACTAACCCTCTAATTTTGTTTTTGCAAATAGATCTCCAAGTAAAAAAATTTCTGACTCTTTACCGTTAGAGAAAGAAAAAAATTGTTTTATGATGACAAATATTCTAACAGTAAAAGAGTAAAAAAAAAAAACTTAGTCAGAGATCTATCTGAAAAAATAAAGTTAAAGGGGTAATAACTATAAAACACTTAAATAAAATAACAGGTCTGTCCGGGGGCGTACAAGACGTTTCGGCCAAAGGTGAAAAGGGAAAACATTCAAATTCGGATTTAAAAAAGGTTATCCACAATTAACCCTAAATATGTATATAATATAAAAAAAAACAAGTAAAGATTCTATGACGATAAGCTTTGTTAAAAGAAGATATAAAGAAAAAACTAACAAAAATCAAATTAGATACCTTTGATGCAGAGGAAATTAGAGATGAAACAGAAGTGGTCGATGTCGTGACCGTCGTCAACCCAACATTATACGCCATCGTTCCGTCGGGCTGATACAACCCATAATTCCTCTCTGACGTCGGCCCGGGCTTCATATCTTCATTAAACAAAGCAAATAAGTAAACCTCCAACGTTTGTTTAGGCCTCAACGGAGTCCCTTGCCCTCGTAATTGTCTCAACAACAAGTTCCTATTATATGCCCTCGCATTCTCTACCGTCGCCCCGTATTCATCCGAATCGCCTTTCGAAGGCCACCCTGTCTCCGAAACCCTAACCTCGATCCCTCCGAACCCTAACCTCGCCATTGCAAACATCACCGCATCAACTTGTGCACACAACATGTTATCATAGCGTAATTTAGTATACGGGTCTACCATGCCAACATTAGGGTTACCTAACACATACTCTAATTGGATGCTGGTCGGATCATCTTTATAGGCGAAATACGGGTATGCGTTGATCCAATAGGGTGAGTTCGTTTCCGACAAAAACTGCAAAAATGGCGTCATTAGGTTGACCAATTCGGGCTGGAAGGACCCTAGAGACGACGGGTACGAGTTTTGTAGCACGGCTAGTGAGTTTGCGGATGAAATGTGAACGGTTGAGTCAAGTCCAAAATGGACTAACGCTTGGTGGAGCGCTAGCATAGCGGGAACTAGATTTGACTTGAGATTCTGGTCGTCGGTAGTGTAGACTTCGTTGCCAACGGCGATTCCGGTGATCTTTGTCGACGGAACATAGGGTTTGATGTTGGTGTTGATCCATTGGAGCGCTTGCTGTGGGTCGCTTAGTTGCACGACTAAATCGTTAGGTACTGTGACGATGAGCTCGATGTTTGAGTTTGCGAATTCGGTTAAGACCTGTGGGTTGGTGTCATAGATCCGCGTCTTAGTGATCCTGAGAGAGGAGAGGAGGACGAGGACTTGTTGAGGTGAAGGGAGATTGTTGGCTACTTGGCCGTAGTTGATGCCTAGCGTAGAGACTTGTCGGATCAAACCAAATTCTGAAAAGCAAGAAAAGGTAAAGTTGCGTTAGGACAAGGGAGACCATGTATCAATTAACCAAGTGTTTTACATGTAACATGTTTTACAAATAAACTAGTTTTGAAATTAGATCATATAACCTGGAGATGAATAAAATTTTTCAATGAAACAAGAGGAAATGAACATGTACCTAAGGAGAGAAAATGGAACACAAGAAGAACGTGAAGAATCCTTAATCTCATGGAGAAAAAGGAATCCATGAGAAGAAAGGGGGAGAGAGATTGTGACCAAGTGGGAGAGAGATAAAGAGGAGAGAGAATATCTAGAAAGAGCCCAATTCCTTTCTTTACTTGGATGAGAGTTTGGTGAGGGAGAAGGAGAAGTAGCCTTTGCCTTGCCCATGCTTCTTAAATGAAAGAGGATGGAGGTTAATTTATATGTTCGGCGACTTTAATATGTGACATGGCTAGTGCTTGACTCATGCCAAGGACAACTTTCTAGTTAGCGTTGGTTATCTTTACAACCAAGCCACATCTTGTCTCCATGGCGTTACTTTAGACCGTAGAATGGAAATAGAGAGTGAGAGAGACAGCAATGTTGTTCCTCTGTGAGCGGTCCAAACTAATTCAACACCGAATTTAATAAGTTATACAATGATCAAATATTTTTTGTTGCGTACATTTAGCGTTACAAAGAGACAGCTAGTGTGCCTTTGGCGCAAGTCCTACCGTAGATGGGTGCTCTCCAGAACATGACGCCGAGTAAAGCTCGACACTTGCACATGGAGCCATAGACTCTTTACGCTGGGTGGGTGGGAGAATATTAATATATATATATATATATATAATATATATATATATATATTATATATATATTATATATATATATATATTATATATATATATATAGAGAAGAGAGAAACGAGAGAGAGAGACTTCCTATCACTTAAGTTGATGTCCACTAATTTCTAGCCCACACATTTATTAATATTAAAAACATTTTTATTATACAAGGATCCTAGCAATATGAGTGGCTTAAAACTTTTGATGAACAACACTATTCCATATTCCATATCACTTAAGTTTGACACAAGTTTTCAGCACAAACACACACACACACACCACACACACACATATATATATATATATATATATATTATATATATATATATATATATATATATATATTATATATAATATATATATATATATATATATAATATATATATATATATGAGAATAATGGAGGGTGATAGCTGGCAGCTCACCTCCTCGTGAGCTATAAGTGTTATGACATTAGTGCACTCACCGTTCTCCGTGAGCTATAAGTGTATGACATGTGAGCCCCCACGATGTGACTAGTAGGGGGCTCACATGTCATACACCTTGCCAGCCACGGGGGAGGTGAACTTGCTAGCTCACCTCCATTATTCTCTCTCTCTCTCGTCTCTCTCTCTCTCTATATATATTATATTATATATTATATATATGATATATATATAATTATATATATATATATAGAGAGGGAGGAGAGAGAGATGGAGAGAGAGAGAAATGGATATGCTGGTACGAAGGCCATTAAAAAGTTTGTGATTGGTAAGTGAGGCTGTCAAATCCTCCTCCACATCATTACAAATGTGGGAACAACATCACATGAATAGTGAGTGGATGCAGGATGTGACACATCACCTACCAAGCACAAAATTTGTGCTTTGTACCAGAGCATTACCCATTATTTCTCTTATATATATTATATATTATATATATAGATAATATATATATATATATATATATGATATATATATTATATATTATATAGTATATATTAAATATATATAATAATTATTAATATACTAAAAATATGGAGAAATTGTATCAAGTTCTTTCATTGCAGCTGGTAGGGAGGTGGCCGACACCCTTTGGATGTTGTTCCCCCATTTGAATGAGTGGAGGGGATTGTGGTCCCTCACTTTACCAAACACACACACAAAATTGATTCTGTGCTTGATACCTAAGCATTCAACATTTCTTCATGTATGTATGTATGTATGATATGTATGTATGTATGTATGTATGTATATATTATATATATATATATATATATATAGTATATATATATTTATATAATATATTCTATATATTATATATTATATATACTAATTATATATTATATAGAGCTTTACGCTGGGTGCGGTGGGGAGTATATATTAATATATATATATAATATAATATAATATATATATATATATATTATACTAATATTATATATATATATATATTGATATATATACTATATAGAGAAGAGAGAACGGAGAGAGAGACTTCCTATCAACTTAAAGTTGATGTCCACTAAGTTTTCTAGCCACACATTTATTAATATAAAAAACATTTTTATTAATACAAGGATCCTACGCAATATGAGTGGCTTAAAAACTTGTTATGAACACACTATTCCATATTCATATCACTTAAGTTTGACACAAGTTTTCAGCACAAAACACACACACACACACAACACACATATATTATATATATATATTATATATATATATATATATAATATATATATATATATATATATATATATTATATATATATAATATAGTATAATATATATATATATATGAGAATTAATGGAGGGTGATAGCCTGGCAGCTCACCTGCCTCGTGAGCTATAAGTGTTATGACATAGTGAGCTCACTCGTTCCTCCGTTTGAGCTGATAAGTGTATGACATGTGAGCCCCAACGAAGTGACTAGTTAGGGGGCTCACATGTCATACACCTGCAGCTCAGCGGGGGAGGTGAACTGCTAGAGCTCCCTCCATTATTCTCTCTTCTCCTTCGTCTCTCTCTCTTCTAATATATATTATATATATATATTATAATATGATATATATATAATTATATATATATATATAGAGAGAGAGAAGGACTGGAGAGAGAGAGAGAGAGAGAAATGGATATGCTTGGTACGAAGGCATAAAAAGTTGTGATTGGTAAGTGCGGCTGTCAAATCCTCCTCCACTCATTCAAATGTGGGAACAACATTCACATGAATAGTGAGTGGATGAGGATGTGACACATCACTACCAAGCACAAATTTGTGCTTTGTACCAGAGCATACCCATATTTCTCTTATATATATATATATATTATATATATATATATATATATATATATATATATATATATATATATATATATATATATATATATATATATTATAATATATATAATATATATATAGTAAAAATATGGAGAACATTGTATCAAGTTCTTTCATTGAGCTGGTAGGAGGTGGCCAGACACCCTTGGATGTTGTCCCCCATTTGAATGAGTGGAGGGGATTGTGCACCTCACTTCCAAACAAACACAAAATTTGTGCTTGATACCAAGCATCAACATTTCTTCATGTATGTATGTATGTATGTATGTATGTATGTATGTATGTATGTATATATATATATATATATATATATATATATATATATATATATTTATATAATATATTTATATATTATATATATATATATACTAATTATATATTATATAGAGCAGAGAGAGAGAGAGAGAAAGAGAGAGAGAGATTAATGTGTATCCTTGTCATAGGAGGAGATTTCCTCCTTGACGCCTCTAAAATCACATGATTGAGCGACATTATGGATGATCCGCTCCGTTGAACTTGATCTACATATTCTAAAACCCTAACACACCAAGTTTGGGGTGAATTCATCGTCTTTTGACACTCCATCGAGCCATGTGGAAAGTTCTATTCATTCAAAACCGTTAAAATTGATACGAGTGGATGAAAGGTTAAACGACGACAGGTTCACCTCAAAATTAGTGTGTTTGGGTTTTAGAATATGTAGATCAAGTTCAACAGAGAGAATCATCCACAATGTCGCTCAATCATGTGATTTTAGAGGCGTCAAGGAGGAAATCCACTCCTATGACAAGGATACCCATTAATCTCATATATATATATATATAGACTAAATCTATTAGCAATTGTTAGATAATCATGTAGCCTAGTTTGTGCTGATCCTCCTTTAATCTCTGGGAATAATGAATGATTTTGTTTCCCATATATATATACACTAAATGTATTAGCAATTGTTAGATAATCATGCATCAATACTATTCACACTCCCAAACAGTAACTTTGGGGGTGTGTGAGGACTAAATTGCCCTTCTCCCAAACCAAACCAGGCCAAGTCTAAAAGGACATTTTCGGCAATCCAACTCCCAAAGTTACTGTTTGGGAGTGGATATAGCAAACATGTCCTTTAATCTGTGGGAATAATGAATGATTTTGTTTCCCCTTTAAGGATGGGATGTATGACGGTGGAAAATCCGTTGCTTTTCTTTTCCAACGGGAATCTTTTCCAATAAGAAGGGAATTTCATTAGTCCTATCTTCTTATATTGGAGGATTAGTTTCTAGTTGAATGAACCGTTCGACTTTTGCAGGAGCACGAGTTTCTATACATGAGTTATGAATTTGAAGCTAGAGAAGTGTGTAATTATTTTAATTGATTTTGAATTTTCTTGGAGTCTAATAGATTTCTAAGTTATTATGTTTTTGTTTCTATTTTTTTTTCTAAAGTCTAATTTACATGAAGAAAACATATCACAGGGATCTAAAATTAAATTCATATAAAATTACACCTCATTTGTGGCGGAAAGCAACACATGTAGGGTCCAGATACTTGTCCTTGTCCATGGATTTTAAAAAAAATTATAAGGTTGTGTGATGAGGAGATTTTATTTTTTTCAACTATTTAGACCGGAATTTTATCTTATACATATGTATCAGAATGCACCAATTATTTCTATATTCTGAAGGGAGAAAATATAGTTGTCAAAGAGTATACTAAGGTTTCATTTTGACTATAATACTTTATTGATTAGTAGTGGAAAGATGACCTGGTTGTACTTTGAGGTGTCAGGACGTAGTACGTACAATATCTCTTGTTTGAGTAATAACAAGATCTCATTTGATACTAATATTGGTTTGAGATGATATAGTATAGATAAATTTAGGTATGAGAACTGTACGAAGTGAAATGTCGTAAAATTAGCTCAAAAGCTGATTTCAGCCTTTCTACCACCGATAGTAGGCGTTGACCATTGACTGTAAGAAGAGCTCATCGATGGACAATATATGTCATTATTGATTTTGACTCTACAGACTTTCATATTATCGATGGGCTTCTTAACCATTTATGGGCCCTCGAAAATCATTGATGGCCGAGAGCCACCGTCGATAGTAAACATGACTGATTGTAGATTTTTAGATTTAATCACAGTCATTCATCATTTATAATATCTCCAATCTCTACCACATTTAAAATATCTCTTTCTTGACCTACTAGGGAGTTTATATCAT